CCGTTGTATCTTAGAAATGATTAAAGATATCTTATTGGAATTCTCCGAGTTTATTTTTATAACACTTTACTTTGAACAATAAGAATGTATAATTACTCTACAAGCTTAACAGAAGAATCGTGATAAATTCTATTATAAACGAAAATGACATGTTCATTATTAATTATTCATACCTAAGGATCAGAAGCTCGTGAAGGATTGAAATAAATTTCAAATATAAATAATTATAATTTAAGCTCTACTGAGGCACTGTTTTTTTTTTTTAAAAAAAAAAACTATATATTTGCATATATATATATATATATATATATATATATATATATATATATATATATATATATATATTCCAGAACCATTTTCCAACTTATTCAAGATGATCTTCACCCTCTCTAACTTACCTCACACGTTTCACGTACTATTTCATGTTCAACTTTTGTTGTCACTGCTCTTTAGACTGTCATAACTGAAACCCCTCTTTCACGTGCCAAACGTCTTATGGGTTGAGTTGGATCTTTTCTCGTTGATCCCTTTAGCTCAAAGTTGAAATGATGATCCCTCGTCCAGTTGTGATCTCCTGATCCAGTTTTAATCTCTAATGTTTTCGCTTTTTTAAACTTATTCACCGCTCTTTTGAATGTTCTTGAATGGACTTTGAAAACAAGCCAGAGTATGAATTTTGGTACCATTACTGAAGGAATGAATGATCATTTTCCTCTCACCATTGCTCAGTTAGGGAGACAGCGGAGCTGATACAAAACGATTTTAACATGTCCTCTTTCTAGCTGAATAATTCAAAGGATTTTTCAGTGATTTTTACGATATGGAATCATGATGGCTAAACATCTTACCTGAAAACTTGGAAAAAAGAAACTCAATTAATATTGTGTTTTTGCTTTTTAGATATTAAACACTTTGCTGGGTCAGTTAAATCAGGCACAATTAGCGGTTGCAAGAACGAAATCCTAATCAAAATATATCCATCCCTACAATTTTTTGTTAGTCTACAGCAGTTTCTCAGCCTTTTTACCCTTGCGTAACCCTTAGAATAAATCAAATGTCTCAAGGAACCCCTGCGTAAAAACAAAATTATATACAATATCTTTCTCATTTTATTTGCATCGTAGTTCACGTGGTAAATATCATAGTATATATTTTTAAATAACTGATTTAAGAAAAAATTAATAATTTGTCAAATTTTTCGATAATGCTAAATAAAATTCATACTATTTTCAATTCCTTGTACTGCATTTTGTCCAAGCATTTTGCCGACTATAATTTTACAAGCTGGCAGTGTTAGGTTCTTACCAACTGTGTGACTTTTCCTTTTCTGTGCAATAATTTCTGCTACCAAATAACTTGCTTCAAGAGCCTTTTCACTTACACTACTTTACTAAAAAAAAACTGTACTCTGTTTCTTCTGATATCCCAACAGCCTTTTAAAATAATCTGCACTTATATTTTTCATATGCGTGAGATTTGTTGTGATATATCTTTTTAGTTTAGTTTGAGCCATTGATGCATTTGAAAGTTGTTTGCCGCAGACGACACATAACGGATGTTCTTTCTGTCCATTGTTGAACAACTAGTGAGAGTGGAATTGGTCAGGAGTTTGTGGTTCTTCATTACTAGTCTCATGAGATTTTGGTTCTCATCAGAATTTTCGAAATGTTTCCTCTTCAAAAATCGCCATATTGGGTGATTAGGTATTTCTTTAAAAATAAAGGAAAAAAAAAACAAAGAAATAATTAACATTAAGTAGAGGTCCTGTTCGCTGAGTGGCCACTGACTAATAAAAGTCGTTTCACATTGGCGCCGTAAAGACATCACTAAATATATTCCCAATAATTGTTATATTTTTAATAACATAATACGTTAGATAGGATGATGTCTGCATGACAATAACCAAGAATATGTTGTGTGTGTTTAGTAATATTACGTATGTGAAGTTAAATAAAAAGTCAAAAGTCCATTAGCTTATCTCGACTGTTCTTGCGAAAACCTTGGGGACCTTTTACAGAACCTTAGGGTTCCGGAGAAACCTGGTTGAAAAACACTGGAGAGATGTGAATCTCTGCTACTACTACGACTTCGGTGAAACCCCATGTAATCCTCGTTGGAATTTGCATCCTTTTAAAAACGTTACGACTGCTTGTCTCACTTTGAATCAGAATCAAAAACAGAATGACTGTTTTCTAAGTGTAGCTTAGATGTGGCGCAAGGCCGAAAGTATAAAGGACCCAGTGAGGATCGAACTCGCTATTCAGACATAATTAATCCAGCGAGAAAAAAATAGCTTCATAAACATCACACCACGCTGAAGTACCACGATTCAAAATCGTATGGGGGCAATTCAAATCGAAACATTTTTGGTTTTCAGTCTTTATGCTTTATTTTGTCTTTTTACCTTAGAACATTTGAATCGGTCTTTTCTTCGGCCATCATTCGCATACCTGTATTCTTTAAAATAACTCTCCACACTTCTTTTAGATTTAAATACTGTATTTTAAATTTAGTTTAATTCTTTTGATCGTAGTAGGCTTTTTTTTGTGTTCAAAAATGTCGGAAAAAACGGGTCCGTAGCGATGACAAAGAAACAAACAAAAATTTAGGCATAGAAAAAGATAAAAAAAAAATGACAGTCTTCAAACGACTAAAGTTTAGTTTTTCATTCAATTCTATAATCACTGCTCTGAAACAGTAGATAGCGACGGTTTTAATGATTATGGAATTGATAAGAACATAGCAAGCGGCCGGTTGTCAATACTAGACGTGTAGTCGGGAGATAATGTTAATGCTAGTCTCAACCAATGAAAGGCAATGACGAAAACGAAAATTCAAAACGGGTCAGAATCAATAAAGAACAATGGATGCCGCGCTGCAATTAATTGGTTTGCGCATGCGCACAGCTTTAAGCAAACTTGTTACTCATTTCGTTGCGAAGCTGAGGAGGAAAAGAAAAGAAATCCGGAAAAAAAAGAAAGAATTAAAAAAAAAAAATAATAAAAGAAAAATAAAGAATTATTGAAAGAAATTAATAGAAGAAAATAAGTCAATTTATCATGCTCGTCATTGAAAAATCATCGTTTATTTTCTTTGTGATTTTTTTTTTGTATAGTTATATGGCGGTTTCAGGTAGTAGGAGTTTTAATAGTTCTGTTCAATAACAGTAATCAATATACTGCCTCCACTAACTTTCAGTTTTTGTGTTTTTAGTTCCTTGTTTTTTCTCCTCCTTTTTTATTTATTATCTTAAAGCTGTTTTTAAATTTCTTTTCTCTCCTGTAAATCTCACTCATATATCGTCAGGTCGCTATTCCGTATTTTACCTCTTCTTTTCCTACTCCGTTGTATAAAGCTTTTAATTATTACTGCACCGACTAATACAACGATGACCGTCACCGTTATATCAACCACACTACGACTATTACTACGTCGGGTATTGTAACGGTTAACAGCTATGAAAGCGAAATCGGCAATCCGAGTTCGAGTTCTGGTCGAGTTCATTACATTCACTTTCGCATAAATACAGTAGAAAAGCGTATGAATCTATCCATTTCTAAAAGAACTATAAATTCAAAAGGCGAAACGCACATTGTAAAACTATTAAAAAGTGATGTAATGGAATAACCTGTCATCCTCATGAGTGACTACACTATAGGAAGTTTTTGTAGTCTATGCACTGTCACATTCTCTCGGCAAACCGAGACTTAGCTCCTTCGTGAACTCGTTTTCATTTATTACGGGCAGTAGTGAATAAGCGTTTGTTGTGGCGAGAGCTGTCACGCTGGTATAGCCGGAAATAGTGGTTCCTGTGTGCTATAGCGGCCGAACATGCTGGTGTGAACCCTGGAGAGGATTGAGGTTTCATCTGGTATTTCTGTGAAGGAAATGGAAACGTCCATGCCGTTTTTGACCCAAGAAGCAACCTCAGTGGCACAATTTTTAATTGGAGGGTTAGTCTCGATGAAAATCATAGAGTGAGTCCCAATCCGCATGCTGGTATCGGAAAGGGGTCTTTTGAAAAAAAAAAAAAAAAAAAAAAACATATAAAATCCATTATTTACTTATTCATAATGTTGGATGCGTTAAAATTATTCAACTTTTTAACAAGAAAAATCTCAAGTTGATGTTAAAAATTGCAGCAAAATATTGTTGATTTATTTAAGACAGAAAGATCGATTATGACTTGACCCTAATTTTATTTAGTTACATTGTATTTATCTTCCATATTTCTAGTTGAATTGTTCACCTATATTGCATATGATCTATTATTCTACACGATTAGGTAACAATAAAAATAAAATGTATATTTTATATGAATAATACCATATAAAAATTGAGATGTAATAGATTTGATGGGATGGGTAGGAGACGCTTGAACCAGCCCTACTAATACTACTAAGTAGTATAAATACTTGTATACAAGTAGTTCAATCACGACTGATACCAGAATACTAAAATCATGTTGATCTTGACTAGTTTATCACTAAGATTTTTTACTTCTACCCCGATTAAATCTACTGTTTCTCTCAACCACTATTGATGACGTCTACACGTCTTCTGATACTAAGACTTATAATACAATATCTACAAGTATAACAACTATTGTTACTACTACTACTACTACTACTACTACTACTGCAAATGCTTTGTTTTCATTTTTTTAAATTAAAAAATATCAGACAGTATTTTTTTCTATTTACAATTGGATATTTTCTGCGTTTTAAAATTTTATTTTGGTATTAGTTTATGCCATTTGAAAAAATATATTTTGGAATCATTAAAATTATTTCTGTTCATTTGAAATTAAAATGCATTCTTGCAGACTCTTCTGATTGTTGTAATTTCTTTTATTTTTTTTCTCTTGTTGTATTGGAATTATTTTCTTGTTTTCTTGGTTTTTCCTTTTAAAGCCGATACAAAAATGCCATCGGTTTTTGCTATTTTTCATTTCTTGTTTTCTTAAAATTAAAAATAAAAAAGTGTTTTTACTTTTTTAGCTTTTCTCTCTTCTTACACTTTTTCTGTCTTCTTGCACTTTTTATGGATTCTTGAACCTTTTCTGGTTTCTTGCACCTTTTCAATCTTGCATTTTTCTGTCTTTTTGCACCTTTTCTGTCTTGTACTTTTTTGTCTTCCTGCACTTCTTGATTCATGTACTTTTTCTGGCATTTTGCACTTTTTCTCTCTTCTCGCGCTTTTTCTGTCTTCTTGCATTTTTCTGTCTTCTTACAACTTTTCTATCTTCGTGCAATTTTTCTGTTTTCTGGCACTTTTTCTGGCTTCTTGCACTTTTTCTGTCAACTTGCATCTTTTCTGGCTTCTTGCACCTTTTCTGACTTCTTGTAGTTTTTCTGGCTTTTTGCACTTTTTCTGTAATCTTTCATTTTTCTGTCTTCTTGCACTTTTCTAGCTTCTTGTACTTTTTTGATTTCTTGCACTTCTTAATTCTTGTACTTTTTCTGGCTTCTGGCACTTTTCCGTCTTCTTGCAACTTTTCTATCTTCTGCAATTTTCCTGGCTTCTTGGACTTTTTCTAGCAACTTGCACCTTCTTCTTCCATCGTTTCTGACTTCTTGTGGTTTTTCTGGCTTTTTGTACTTTTTCTGTAATCTTTCATTTTTCTGTCTTCTTGCACTTTTTTGGCCTCTTGCTCATGGTTTTCTTGCATTGTTTCTGTCTTTTTGCACTGTTTCTGTCTGCTTGTACTTTTTGTTTTCTTGCACTTCTTGATTCTTGTACTTTTTTTTAGCTTCTTGCAAATTTTCCATCTTCTTGGAATTTTTCTGGCTTCTTGCACTTTTTCTGTCCTTTTGCACCTTTTTTGCACATTTTCTTTCTTCTTGCATTTTTCCATGTTTTGTTGTTGTTCTGTTTTTTTTGCACAATGGACGATGTTGCACTCTAAATGAGGCTCCCTATTATGAACATTCCAGATCTAAAATGGAGCTAATATTTACAGTCCATCGCTAAAGATGAGTGAAATATTGTCTGCTCATTGTATCGTTCTGAAAAGCATCTAACTCCTAGAATGCTTTATCTTTCTTCTTCTCGGGGTTTGCATTCGGTGAAATTTACGAAAAAAGAAATATAACCTGTTTCGAGATATGAAAATATTTGAAGTATTTCTTGACAGACCTTTTTCAAACTCGGGCGTGAACACTACAATCTTAACCTCATCAGTTCTGGGGGGGGTCAATCCTTATCTATCCTCCATATCCTTATAAACTTCCTACTTCTTCATCTTACGTTCATATCGCACACCTCATTCATTTCCCACTTACCTTGAGTGGGTGAACAATAGAATAAAAAATAAAATGTAAATAATATCTAAAATCTTTATTATAATCTAATAATTTGCTGATTATAGTTTTTTTGTCTTTTAGGTCATAAACTGAACAAATTTTCAGAAAATCTATTTTTATATCAGAATTTTCGACGATTTTCTTTAGTGGCGCAATGATGTTGATGTCAGAATTAATTTTTATACGACATTTACCTTAAATATACATTTCCCGCTAAAAAATTTTCTACCTACAAATAACAACCATAATCATATTACCATCGTTGAAGCTACCGGATTAGTGAATCACAGATTAGGGATTATTTTTTCCCATCTATGTATATGATACGCTATTTTTAAAAAATCTATAACTCTTTTATAATGGAATAATAGGAAGCGTCCTGATTGGAATCTTATCGAACTATAGATAAATACTATATATGCTATGACAATGTTGTTAAGTGTTAAACATTTTAGAAAATAAATATACAAATACTGAGTTAGTCGGAGCGCATGGATATAACCTTTTGATCTGACGCCGAAATCTGGAGATGAAATTTGCTTCCAGGAAAAATGCATAACCTTTGGTATATGTGACGTCGTCCCCCGGTATCAGCGCCGACTGTGTCGTTCTATCCTGATCCACCACGGCGCCAGATGTGACGTCACGTGGCTGCCCCAGGCTCTGATGTCCCGGTCACGGCGTCAGATGTGACGTCCCCAAACAGCACCAATTGTGACGTCTTCGCCGCGGCGTCAGCTGTTCGCTCCTCGCCGCTCCAAACGTGACGTTCTAACCGTTTGGTGATTCGGGTAGGAATCTGGTTAGATTGATACCAGCCTCGCCGTTCCCAACCTGCTTCCAACGCCTGGTTACCAGGGTAACTGCACTGATCCCCAGTCTGTCTACCCACGTTGTGAATTGATCTTAGACAGACGAGATCAAACAGGGGTTGGGGCCGTAATGCAAGCTGAGTTCAACGGGGGTGATAACACACAATTATGGATAAATGAAAATAAAATGAAAACTCACAAAGTTCAAAGTATCAAAGAAAAAGGTAACAAACTTTTATGTCTATTTGTTCGGTACATAGGACTATGTCTACTACCCGACCCGTTCTGTGGATTGTGGCACGACGCTTTCGCTAGGCAAACTTTAAGGCTTCAAGTTGTCTGCTCTCTAAGAAATTTGTGTTTCGGTGTGTCTTTGGACGAAAGTCGAAAAACTTATTTCTGTGGTCTGGTTCTAAGTCGCTCTTCAAACTACTTGTTCTTGGTTGAAGAAGAGTCCAAAAGTGTGCGTGAATCTTGGTCAGCTATCTTGACGCGGTTTCAACACTGGGCGCTCATCTCTGCTTGTCGTCCAGAGCTCAAAACTTCTCGCCAGGGTCCGCGGCTGCACTCCGCTTGCCGTCCGCGGCTGCACTGATTTCTGTCTGGTGGGGCTTCGTTTTTATTGACGCCGTCAAAACTGGGTGGGTCTGTTTGGCGTCGGGATTCTTCGATAATTCTAAATACGTATCTACCCTTCTTATTTCTGGTTAGGGATTTTCCACTCTTTTCCATTTTTGGTAACTCCTTTCTCACTCCCACTCTCTCACTGTGCTTCTGAGGGGCGTGCACTAACTTCCCCACTTCTTCGTATCGGCTCCTCACACTTACACTTCTGATAGAGGCGTCGACCGATTTTCTTCGTGCGTCACGTGACCGCTCTCGGCCAATGAGGTCCTGGTCGGGTATCTTCCCTCCTCCTTCGTGCGTCATGTGATCACCACTTGACCAATGACGCCTCAGTCGGGCGTGAATAATCCGTGGCTTTGTTTCGGAGAAAAAAAAAATATCTTGCTTAACTAAGAAAAATTAATGATCTCTCCTCTTTCTTTTTTTTTTCTTTCAAATCGCCGTTATCATGGGTCTGGCCACCAACAGAACAATATGACAACTTTTTTTACACGGGCGTTTGTCAAGCAGTTTATCGGTAATTAATCAGGTCGGTTGATTTTCCGACATGGCCTCAGAAAAGAATTTCCTCAAAATTTCCAGTCAGACTGTCGTCTCTAAAGAGGAAATAAAAACATTTCTTATTCCATTCATTTTCCTTCGGTTCATGTGTCTGATAACAAAATTTTATTGCCGTAGAGAATCCGGTCGGTGAGAATGCCTGTGTGGGATTTTAATTTTTCATATCTAACTACGGTTCTGTAGCCACACCTGTGTTTTGTCAAAAAATTAACGTTTTCAAGTGGACTTTTCTTTGGCGAACATTTCTTGACAACACAATTCCATTATCTCTATTTTAGTCACTTATCGAAATAAAAAAATTCGTTCGAGTTTTTTTTTTTTTTTTGGCCGGTGGTCTGTGTTTTCGTATTAATGGTTTGTCTTCATATCCCTAGATACACTTCCAATTGATAACAAAATTCCATTTTTCGTGGACACGCGGAAATCGGTCAAATACTTGTTCGTAGGTGACCTAGATATTTTCGACATCTGCTACCTATCAATTCTAGCCGTGTGTGTGTGTTCGCCTATGACCCGTTTTCGTATTATTTTTTCTTTCTTTCTTCTTCGTTTTCTCTTTCTTTCTCCCAATTCGCTTGAATGTAAAGAAAGAATTATTCTTAAAACCTAAAATATTTTTCGGCCTTAAATAATTATCAAATGGTTGATAAACCGTAAAAAGCAAATCATATATCTATGAATATTTCTTTCAAATCATCAGGATGCATGGTGCCACATATATATGCCTAAGATAATCCTTTAATCTGTTTATGGGTATTAGTCATTCATTCATTCATCCATTATGCACTTCTGTGACCACCATTCACCCCCATCTTACCATCGTGGTTCATGGTGTCTTTCAAGGTAGAATAGTGCAATGGCTTGTTGCTTTTGTTGAGCTTACCCCGCCCTTCTTCTCAGGTGTTAAAGAGGCAAGGCTTACAAATGGTGGTTTGAATTCAGAGTTTCCTTTCAAGACTTTTTGCCAACCAAGATTACACGACCTAGACTGTCCTGCTATTTACCCATGGGGGGATACAGATTCATACATTTCCCAAGGATATTAACACATGAGTAAATGTATTAAGCCCAACTGGATTTCGAAAAAGGCTCTCACGGTTCCTCAGTCCGAGTCGCTATCTATTACTTCACATTACCTTCGTTAGTCTTAATTAAATATAAAAAAAAACTTACGTCTGAAAATCTAAAGATTAACAACATATTGCAAGCAAATTAGAAAGAGACAGCTGAACTTCGACATATAATAAGAACGGAAGCTTCAGAAAATTTAACACTCACATCGAGGGCAAGAGAGACAGAAGGAGGCAAAGGTCCACTTACCTGACAGGCTTGTATGAATAAATGGCAGAACTGGGAGTGGAATCTTGGCTTAGGGAGAAACGTTGCTAAGGGTTACAAGGGATAGGAAGTTGCGGAGAGGCATGATCACCAACTTAATGAAAGGACACGTCACGTAAAATAACAAGACGATACTTTTTACGGCATGTATAAACTTGTATAATTATATTTTTAAAGACTCACACTTGAACGATTAGCAAAATAAAACGCCATTTTGATGGCTTGAGTAATACAAACAAATGATTCAAAAAGAATTATTACATACTACTACAAAAAGGGAAGAATAAATACTTATAGAGACGCATGGGAACAAAACTTTTAATATTAGTAAAGACTTAACAGAATATGACATTGTTTTGGATAGTATATGTTGACTAGTGTTTATATAATACTCTACAGGACATGACGGGGAAGAACTTTCTACTGTTATTAAGTAATAGACTGACCCTTTTGTGCATTTATTATATTTGTTTAGCAGGCTTATTTTCTTTGAGAAGTGTATCTCTGCTCGGACTTCTTTGGTTTGATCTTTGAGGTCAGATACAAGACAAAACAAAAGAAGGCGATTTTGATTGGCTTAACGAGCATGAGATATAGTAAGGTTTTTGGGCAGTCGAGTCTTAACCGTCGAATAATGTAGACGTCTTCTCTGTCGTCTCTGGATCTGCTGCGCAGTCGTGGGGGGGGGCGACAACACTGCATAGTTAGAAATATATACGCCAATGTTAATAAAATAGTTAAATTTAAATTATCTTTGTTGATGTCTTTCT